CTAGCCCAGACATGCTGGAGCCTTGCTGAAAGCAGCCAGACCACTCCCCACAGACAACTGGATTAATTTTACTTGTTTCCGTAATTTTCAGTAATGGAATTTTCCAAGCGCTGATTATTTGTTGCACATAAATGCATTTTTCTGAAGTGTTACAACTAATCCATTAGTGTTGTTTGCCCATTGGATTCAATTATTCATGTGTGAATAAAACTTTTCCAAAAATGTTGTTAGTATGAAGAGCTCCAAAAGTGTTTCTTGAGCTGATTAAAGGTTCATATGTATTACAAACCTTATGCTCCTTAAGAGAATTAAGGAGCTAAATGCATTTTCAAGCTTTGCTGGAACTATTGGAGATAGTTGTGGAACAAAAGAAATATATGACACGTTTTGTTAGCTCTTGCTCTGCATTAATATTATAGATTATAATAACTGTTATATAACCAATTTCTTTTATTAAGTATATTAATAAGCTACCCAGTAAAGAAACTAGAAACTGGAATACAGCACCATGGCCACCTTGATTGTTATTAGTTCAAGCCACAGGCAAAAATTAATCAGTATGCATACCCAATTTTAGATATGTTTGAGTGAATCATTTTTCAGCCAAACATTTTAACATAGACACACGTATTTTGCAGAATAAAAATAGACTTCAACATGCTGTTATCTTAAATATATATTTAAGTAGGTTGCACAGCTATGGCCCAAAGATGTTCCCTGGCTTCTTCAATGGTTACAAGCCTAACTTCTTAGTAGGTGAGAGTGTGGGTACTCTGGGAAAACACTTTATCAGCTGCATCCATTATCAAATGCATGTCAGTGAAATGGAAGACGGAAGATGCACAGTTGATCACATACATCTACGTGAAATAAAAAGTTCAAAATGTGATTTAAAATGTTATCTTAATAATTTTCCTCTTCTACTTCCCCCCATAAATCACATTTTGAAGGCAGATTGGCACCACACAGAATAAGAGACCATCTCTGCAGATATCCTTCATCAAGCAGGTAAATGTGTAAGACACATTATTTATATGATTTTGGCACCAGTGTATCAGTTTATAAAAAATTACCAGCAAGAATCTAGGTTATTTCACTAATAAAATCTTACACAGCTTACTCTCTTTAAGAAAGTGGTACATGTCCTAAGAAAGTGTCAAAAACTCTGGTTGTTCATAACCCTCAGTTTTCAGTGGGTTATGTAGTTGGGCAATATTTGGATATATTGAAAACTACAAAAAAAGATGCATCCCTGACACAAAATCTAGACTTACTTGAAGAAAAGATGAAAATATTTCACTATGAATGAGAACACATACAATTTTTGTAAAACCTTGTTTACAGGGAGTCTACAACAATACTTTACATTTGCCTGTGGGGTTTGATTTCAGACTGAAGCAGATAGCTGGCACAGATGATTTCAGCTAGAATCATTAGAGTTTTAACAAACTTGCAATCTAACTGAAACACAGTTTTACTTGAAAAGCAATGATGTGCTCTCAGCTTTGGCCACAATTGCAAAGCTGAGACTCTGGCTAAGCATTAAAACTTTGACAGCAGATGCACAAGGATATATGCAACTTTAAAGGTAATATATCCTGAAGTAATATATGCAGCATATGAAAGTCTCTCCTTGATGCAGAAAATCTGCTTTTAAAGAAAATATACCTATTGCTTCTCATCCGTGCCAGAAAGTCAAGAAAATGGCAACAAAGCTTCATATGAGATTGATTTATACTGTCCAGTTTATAAACACAGAGAAGAATTCTCCACAAATATTGCAAAAACAAAGCATGTAAGTCCTAATGCTGTTTTCCAAGAAGCTGTTAAAAGTAACATTACTGTTTCAGCTTTAGATTCAGGCTCCTAAGAGACAAATGATGCTAACAGACTTAGGTATTTTTTTAGCCCCATGCAAAGGGACAAAATAGCAATTAACCCCACATCTACCACAGTAACTTTGCATAAATATTCTCTAGCATGCTCATATGTCAAATGCTCTGTACTGCCACAGCACACAAGGCTTTCTACACCTTTAGGCTCTTAGCAAGCAAGAGGTAGGTCAGCTCTGGGACCATAGCCCAGAGTGAGACACGATAGAGACCTGCTGCATCTCCAGTGCAGCTGCCACACCAGCAAAGCAGGTAAGTGCTCCTGTGTGAACTATGCAGTGTACTGGCCTGAATGTATGCCAGGCTTCAGTAGAGAGGAAGCAATACACATACATGTAGGAAATACAGGGGAAGGCATGTGAAAAGATATGACAACCATGTACAGTTAAAATCTGAAGCTTTTAATGACATTTTATATATTACTAGGTGTGAAAATGGAGGCACTCACATAATTTACACCGGAACTGTGCTGCTAAATAATGAGACATTGTTAGCTCCAAGGTGACTGACTCACATTGGATGTTTTGTTGAGTGAGAAGATAACTGCTGTGCTTGACAGGCCAAAGTACCATATGTTTCTAGAATAGCAGAGACCTACTTTATTCTGTGATTTGCTGTCAAGATCTAGTAATACGTGCCCAAGTGGCTTACTGATTCAATAACCACCAGTTCTGACACTCTACAAGTCAGATGAACTTTTAAAGAGACTCATCAACAGCCTGGGCTGCCTTTTCACAGTCCTTTCCCTGCAGGTAAACCAGGACATAATGGGAAACATCTGCAGTGATTCCCCTACCTCTTGCTGCAAAACTGAGAATTCCTATCTCATTACTGCAGGCAGTGCAAGTGCAAGGGCATGGTCTGGACAGGTGCTATCTGCTCTGCTATTTTACCTGTTAAACTCAGGCCTTACTCATTTAGGCTGCTTTGAAAGGAGAAAAGAGGGACCTGATCCCTCATTTGCAGCTGCACTGGGACTCTGGTAATGAGAACCCCTGGGAGATGTGTTTCTCCAGTGAAGGCTCAGTTCACTGTGGGTTTTAAGATTAGGTCCCACACATGTGCTAAGCATTTTGCTTGAGGAAAGCACTCAGAATAAAATTACAAAGTTCTATGCTTATTTTGCCTCTTATGTGAAAAGTTCAAGACAGATTATTATTATTATGGGAAAACATATGAGATCTCTTTGACAGTTGCCCAGATTTAATAACCTATAACTCTGGGGTAAGGGAATTGGAGACTCATATCTAATGTGAACGAAGCCAAGCATCTAATTTCCTTAGGCTCTTCTGAAACCCCACCATCCATTTCTCAACTAATTGAAAGCAGATTCTTTTTAACTGAAATTCAGAGAGATTTCTTTTAGCTCTGTACAAATATTGTTCTGAAATTCATCTTATAACTACATATAAAAATATACTGCTATATGACAATAAGAAAAAAACCCTCCAAATGTATGCAGAAAAGAGTGATAAAATCAATGGTGAGGAATCACATTTAAAGACTGGCCCAAAAATAACTGGTATCAAAGTTTAAGGCAGGTATGTTACAAGACTTAAGATTTATTTCAGCATGAGAGGACCAAACCTATATGGAATTGTAGCATCTGTGGTGAAGATCATAAACACAATCATTAAATATAATAATATGATAATCTGTGTGAAAGATGTGCTTCTTTTCTCCACATTTATTATTTTTACCAGTACTCAAAACTCCAAATAGAAGAGGCTTCAAAGCTAAACTATTTATAAGCTAAATAAATCCTGTGAAGAGCTATTTTGTTATGACATAAGAACAGCTTAGCTCGTGAGGCACAGACAATGTACAAACATTTTCTAAACTGTCTAAAAGCTGAAACTGTATGTTCCTAAATTGACTAAAAATACAACATCCTCTTGGCAAAGACTTTCCCTGCTTTGATAACAACATTGTCTTTCCTACCAGTATTCCAGATTCCTTTGTAAACATTCAAAAGGTTACCTTTTAAATAAATTAGTATCATAGGAACAGAAAAAATGCATTTATTCACTCTTCTTTTGCTAAAATGGCTGATTAGTGTTTATTCAGACTTCCAGCCTCTTAGCTCAAAACAAATCTCGAAAACATCAACCCAATTAACAGACACCACCTTCTTTACAAAACCATTAGAACCTATGTTCAAAATTCTTCCTGTGTTTCTGAGATTCTGCTCATATTTAGAAAGTAAGCTTTTTTACTGCTACTGATAACTACCTAGGGCTGCTTCTTTCCCCACACTGTTGTGCATTTCAGTTACAAGATCTAAAAGCACAGGTTTCACTCCGTAGGTGTGACTGACAGCAGCCTCACACAGTCAGTGGTGTACAGCAAAAACTGACATGACAGCCATTAACAATGCTGAGACTGTTGCAGAAAGAGGGATACCTACAAAAAGGCAAATAAGCTGCATTACTGATGAATTACTTCTTGAAAATGGTGGCAGACTTAGAGAGTTCTCAGCACTGGTCGCTGGCAGAGGCCTTAGTGTACTTCCTTCAACTCTAATGCTTAAGAGGAATAAAAATATGGAATTCTCTCTAACACGTACAGCCTCCAAAAACATGATGCTATTTGACTTTCTGTACCAATAAATCTCCCCTTCCCCAAAGCTAGTGGGTATTCCAAGATAATACCCACTATCCATTTGAAAGTCTTTGAAATTTTCGTTTTGCTTTTTCAAATGGCAGATCAGAGGGACCAGGTCATGCACATGGTATTACCACAGAGTTTCCATTATGGTTTGTTTACCAACTTTGCTCACTTTTTTTTAAAAAATAAGTAAACTGGAACTTACAATCTTCAAACAACAAAATCATCGCAGAAATCAAAAAAAGCAATCACATTTTTGAAACTTAACCTGAAGCATAACCATGGAAGATAGCTGTTACAATGAAGATAAGCAAAATTTATAGTAATATACTTTTGTCAAGTCAGAAGAGTCATCAAAACTGTGGCAGTACAGTTTTTGATGCTGGCACTTTGCCAGGAATCTATCAAAAAACAGAGCTAGCCAAGTGGCCTCAAAATGTTACTTTTTTTCCCCTCATTACACCCTCAAAGGGCATAGGGTTATTTTTTCAATTAAATTACCTGTCCCAGTGATCTCCAATCTAGGCTGGCACTTCCGATGTATACGTGCTGTTTGTCCACAATCCAGAAAGATGACTGAAGCCGACCCTCGTTATAGGCTGACATGTTCATATACAACACTTCTGCACCTAGAGATTTAAGGATGAAATAATAAATAGCATTACTTAAGATAATTTACATTATTAAAAAAAGGGGAATAACTTTACATTTCATGGCCTCAGTTTCCAAAACTATTGACCTATGTAAATAAACATATCATTAAGGTTTAAAATCAAGGATAAACAGTGTTACTGTCCCACTATTTAAGACTGCAATTAACATATATTCCAGTTATACAGAAAAAACATTTAATTAACACATGTTCCAGGTATAGGGAACATGCCCATGTGTTATAATGTTTGCTTAATTTTCTTCCATTTTAGAATCAGATAATCAATTTTTATTTTTCCAGAACTCGTATTCCTAAAAATAGTTTACTTTAAATGTCTATTCTGTACTGTAAACCAGCTACATATTGCAATAATGACCTTTAAAATAGGCATGCAATTAAACCCCCTTCCTAAAAAGCACACTCTGCTCCTTTACCCTGTGCAGTGGTTTGAGCAGGTATCTACAGTTGTTGCTGCATGGAACAGACCCTGACAAGAGGAACATACGTAGAGACTTAAGGAGGGAGGAAGTAAGCAAAGGCCTGAAACATCCTTGAACTGCTCTTAATCTTGCTAATCTGTGACATTTCACCTACCACTCTGAACTGCACAGTTTTAATAAGGATTATAGGCCACTGAAATCAAAGGAGCTACTTGTTGGTAAAGGCATGTTGGCTCCATCACAACACTAGGAAAGTCTGAATGAGCCCCATCACTATGACTGCAGAACTAAATCCAGAATATACTTAATAGTAGGCAAGCTTAGGGGACTTCTCACACCATTATCGTTCTTTCAGTGCTCAAGTGTTTGGAAAATCAGGTGATTAATCTGAATTAATCATTGCTAAAGGTAATTTACAGTAACCCACTCATCACATTTCAGTTATTGCTAACTGGGGAAGAGAAGTGACAGTAAACAGTAGCCTGGGGGGGCAGTAATGATACCAGTCATTGCCCATTAAACATTCATGGGATCTTCAGTACCACGAATTCCAGTAATGCTCAAATATGAGTCACAACTTCAAAAGAATTCCAGGATACATAGAGAAATAAAATTAATTTCTTTTCATTGAACTTCCTATTTCTGACCTCCTAAGAAACACTGGACTTGCAATTTTAGGCAACAGTAATCAGTGCTAAATATTTATTGTCTATTTTGAAAACTGTAATTCTCCCTTGAACAAATTAGTCTAGAAGTTCAGACATCAGGAAAAGAAGAAAAATCAGGTAAGGTACCACTTCTCATGATGCATCAAACGTGCAACATAGGATTTTGAGCATATTGAAGAGTTTGGTTCATTGGTCAATTACATTTGGTGCAACCCAGCTACCTTTCCAGTATTTTCTAGGCTTCACCCATCCACATTCATCCATGCCTGGAAACAAGGTTTTTTCCAATGTTCCTTTAAATATGTTGCTGCTGTTTTCAATCCATGCATTAATGAGCAAAACTGTGCTAATTATTAAGATAATGTGTGTGAAATGGAAATGAAATCAGAAAACACTAAGCAGTGGTTAAATGATTTAAATTGTTTTCTGGTGAATAAACAAAACAAAAGCAACTGCTATTACCTAAGGATAACAATTCTGTTATTACCTAAGGATAACAATTCTGTAACAATACCTAAGGATAACAATTACTAATTTACAATTAGTAAACTTCTAGCTACTTATCTGAAAACTGTGTTTAAAATCAAGTTTAACATAGCAGTTTGTCTTGATGATGTTTTCTTTCCATACATCCAATTTGCAGCATTAAATAGCAACATGAATTTAACACCCACAACACACCTACATCAAATAGGTTATAAATGAAATGTTAAGATTTTTGCATAGGAAAGGTACAACAGTGGGAAGCAAAAATGAGCTTCCTTCTCATAACTGAGAGCCTAAAATAAACACAGTTAAAAAACATCTTTGAAATATCCAACGACAAATAAAAATGCTAACTGCCAATGTTATAACAGGAGACTATTTAACCAGTAATACTAACATTTAAAATAGCAGACATCATTAGTAATCTGACACAATTCAAAAGTTGTAAAACACCACAATTTGTTGGCGTGGGTTGTTCAGACATGGGAATAAACAGTGAGATGGGACTATCACTCTAAAATATAATCTAGGCTTCAGTTAACAAACTAGTGAATATAGCAGTACAGGAGATACTGCTATCACATATACCACTAAAATCAATGCCTGGAAGGAAAATTCTTTTCCTCCTGGAAACAGCCAAATGGTAAGGTTGAGGAAACAGTACCTCCAAGTCAATTTAAAAAGAAGTCATGTGTTGCAAACAGCAGCTGTTGTGAGCCTATTAATGAGCCCTTACCTTTTGATGAAAGGAAACATGTATCAGTATTGATAATTGCCTCTGTTCCAGAAGCCCTTGAGATGGTTTGTTAAAATCAGCATATCAAACTTTCAACACAATCCACATTCTTAGTGTGGTCCAGCTCCCATGAGGAAATTAAATTGGACTGATCAATATGCGAAGCCATAACAGGACTCTCTATCATGCTGCAGTCTCAATTACACAAAGCTGTGGGTCTACTGAGTTCAACCAGAAGGCACAATTCTTAGGCTTGATTGCTAATAAACATGCCAAATAAATCTAACTATTTTGTTTCACCTGAGATTAACATGCAGGGTGAGAATTTAGAAAAAAACAGCGCTGTCACTTAAGTGGATTTGCCTGTCTCATAAAAATGTGCATTCTAAAGGTGGGGACAGATTACCCATTTTCTGCAGAAAAAAAAGACAAACCACTGTAGGGATCAAAGCATGTTTTAAGTAACATTTATCTGAGTACTTTTTCTTCTCGGTGGGGAGGTTTTGCACACTGTATAAGGGAAGTGACTGATGCACTGAGGGGACCCTACCATTGAGAGCCTGGACCTTCTCCATGTGATGTAAACACAGCCCCTGGGAAGTGCCAGGCTGCCACTTAGCCTCTTGCTTTGCCTACTAATGGAGGAAGAAAACAGGAGACATCAGCAGTATTGCAAAAAAGACTGACTTTTCATCCATTTCCACAAAAAATCCAGTTCATGAAGTAATCCCAAAGAAGAAGGATGGCACAAGCAAATGCCATTTACCATTTCTAGCCTTGCAACATCCTGTTTAGTCTAGCTGCCTGCTCTCAGATACTTCATTAACAAAGTCACGAAAGCTAAAGGGCAAACTTGACTTCAAGAACAGGAACTTGAAGAGAACTGGGGTTGTTCAAGCCTGGAGAAGAGAAGGCTTCTCTCTCAAGAAGATGAAGAGACTTTTTCCAACAGCATGTACGGATAGGACAAGGGGGGAATGGCTTCAAACTGAAAGAGAATAGGTTTACATTGGATATTAGGAGGAAGTTCTTTACTGTGAGAGTGGTGAGACACTGAAACAGGTTGCCCAGAGAGGTTGTGGATGTCCCATTCCTGGCAGTGTTCAAGGCCAGGTTGGATGGGGGGCTGAGCAATGTGATCTCTTGGAAGGTATCTCTGCCCCATGGCAGCGGGGTTGGAACTAGATGATCTTTAAGGTCCCTTCCTACCTAAGCCATTCTATGATTTCTATGAACCTAAGGCTAGGGCCTTTTTTACATATATGAGCCAGAGCACTAAGCTCTTAGCAGGAGCCTTTAATCAAGAGTTCATCACATATACCCTGTCATGAAAAACTCTATGTCATCAAGAATCGTATTCTTGGAGCACCTGTGTTGTGGCATATACTAGCTATGGATTTTACTGCTGCTCAAATAATGTCACCAGGCAGCTACAGAAACTGAGAGACTCTTCATGGGAGACTGCAGGAGGCCAGAACTCACAGAGCTGCCATTTGGCCTCCACATCCAAGTTTGTGCAAAAGTCTGGAGAAAGTGTACCAGGAGGCTTTAGATCCAACACCTGTGAGCAGCCTAGGATATTGTTCTTGTACAGAGGCAACATCATTGTGCCAAATCACCTCTTTGATGGATAAAATAGATCATTTTTGTAAAGAAGACACAGAAAGAGCAACTGTTTAGGCTGCTATTATCACAGCTGCCTTGGAAGCAAACATGCAAATTCTGCCTGCCACAGTTTTCAACCGCGCCAGTTACAGGCTAAACTCACTCTGGAGTTAGCAAACATAACGCCCAAGAAACAGAAGCTGCATTTGCTTGTACCATGGTTAAAATTGGTCTTCTGTCTTCACAACTTTCTTCCTTTCACTATAGTGTTTTTAAAACCAGAGAGAAAGAAAAATGAGAAAGGGGGAGAACTTAAGGAGTGAAAGGAGAGCCAGTTATCTGGGAAGTTAGAGCAACAGTGATGGGCAATACACAACAGGCAGAGCAAGGATGAGAAAAGCGCCAAGAGCCCTGACCTCATTGGCCCTGATGGTAGGAAACAATGCTGCAGCAGAAAAGAGGGTGGAGAGAAATGCAGTTAGATGATGTGTTGGCACGTTTGGGACTGCATTGTGCAGAGCCCTAGGAGAAAAGGTCATGGAGCCAGACAGGGCTCTGCTACCTCCTGCTAGGAACAGAAAAATTGTAATGGAGAAGATGAACAGGGGCTTTTGAATGTCTCTCCTTCCCCATTTTGGGGAAACAGAGCTTGTCAAGTACAGGCTGCAGTGGCACAGCAGGTGATGGAAGGGGAACACATTGAGGCAGGGGAGTTAGGACAGGGACAGGGAAGTAGGAAGGCTGTAGAGGGATCATGAAGGAGAAGGAACAGTAGGGTATGAGGAAGCACTGATATATGAAATGAATTTGGCCAGTGAAAGCAACACTACTTATAACTCTCATATATTTCCAGTTTGAACCTGACAAATGCTCCTTCACATCCATTCCACTGTGCATCTTCAAGACACTGTTGCCCATGTCATCGCAAAGCTGGCCGCAGTAGGAACAGCTGCCCTCCCCTACTTACCCCATTCTTGCTATCCCTTTACCCTCCTCATCACCATGTCTGCACATTTTGCTCACAGCACAGTTTTTTTCCCCC